AAAATAGATTACATAAATGTAAATTATCTTATGAAATATGTTTATGTACTAAAAACCTTGCTTTATGTATCATATCTGTCATATGTTTACAGCTACATTTGCTCATGATTCAGCAAGATTTGCTTCCTGCTGACCCTGTTTTCTCACTGATAAGGTATGACTGATAGAAAATAACTGGAAAGAAGTGGAATAAAAGCTCTAGACCCGCAAAGTTTATCCTATTGGTGTGGATGGCCAATTAGGATGGGCTTACTAAGGGGGGACATGTATCAGGACTGTAAAGGCTTGAGACTGGATACCATTGTCCAGTGTTTGAGAAGGCATAGAGCTCTACAGGCTGCCAAAACAGTTGCTGAGGAGCTCTATGCATTCTCATAGACTAGACATTTTCAAGCCTTCACAGCTCTGATACATGTTCTCCCTTAGTAAGCCCTGATGAAGGAGGGTATTTGTATGAGCCCCCAAAACATGTTGGCTATTTCTATACTATCCCTTTAATTCTGTATAGACAGACCCAGAGAGACTGAGCGGAGGGGCTGTGTGACTGGGGGGAGGAATAGTCCCTGGAGAAGGGGTTAAAATAAAATGGGAATTAGCTGATCTTACCTTATTGGACGTTGGGGTCAGGGGTCCGGGAGGAGCCACATGGGTTGGAACTGGAAGGGCTGAGGGGCGTTCTTTCTGGAAAGTCGACGGAGGAAGCAGGTTGTCCACCTGCTCTCCCTGAATTTTGTGGGTTTTGTTGGTTGCCAGGTCTTTTTTATGTCATGGCAGCTTGGCGGGTTATGGGGTGTTTGGGGGGTCTCAATCTCTGAGTCAGTTACACAAATGGGGGGGCCATCAGCTGGTATGGGTGCTTCCCCCTGTTGGTGTCAGTAATTGTAGGGGGGGGGAGGGCTTGGCCCTTTGAAATGTGGGAGCAGTAATTTGGGGGTAAAGCCGGGGACATGGGAGGAGTTTATAGGAGAGGGCTGTCTGGCACCCAAAGACCCCTTCTCAGATCAAACAGTCGTTAAGAGTATTTATTTGTATATTATTTTGTTTATTACTCTGGTTATTGTTGGTTTGGTTAATAAAAGGGCTGCTGTGGCCATTTAAATCCAGTCTGTGTTTATTGGGGTTTTTAACAGAGGGAGTGAATCGGTGAATCCATCAGTCATGAATAAAGATATATCTGGACTGTTAAATGAAGTGTGACACTTCCATTCATGATCCTGCAATGTTAGAGGAAATAATAGGTATTCTGACCTCTTTAATGATGCTAACTACTGTGGCAGTGTAAGCCAATGCCACGGTGTAGGATGGCGACTTTGGCACCCAGGACTCTCAGCCAGAGGGGCTGAGAGGGTCCAGAATGTGAAACACGTTATAAGGAAGAAATCATAATGCACATAATACTCAGTGACCATGTCATCTTTGCCAGGCTGTAAGAGATATGATGGAGTTCAGATGGGCATTTTTTTAAAGAGCAAAGTGCTAAGAAAGTAGCCCAAGCAACCAATGAGGAATCATATTGTATCGGCCTGCTTTCAGTAAAATAAAATATAACCGGTTGCCAGGGCCCTAAACATTTACAGAGGTTATGTACAAACAATTTTGTAAAGTTGACCTGTCATGTATGAAACTTTAATTACCCATTTTTCAGAGTTTCTGTACACAAAATACTGTTAAAGTTAATGTCATGCAAGAAACTTAATTTGCACTTGATGGCCAAGGACATATTGCATATATAATAGCTATACACTCTCTTAGATGATGAAATAGGTCATGGCAATCAAAATGTAAGCTTGATTTAATTTAATCTGTGGCCTGCCAGTAGAAGTGACCTCTTATACAAGATACAAATACAGATGTACCCACCCCTCTACCTGCTCCCTCACCTCTGGCGAGGAGACCAGCAAACCCTTCAGTTTCCAGTTTTAAAGCCGGTCTTGTTTTCAGTATATCAAATGTGGAGGTTACTTGTCGTGCATGGAATAACCAAATCATTTTTAATCCAAACCTGGAGCATGCACATTTTTTTACATTTTGGGGGGAAAAAATCATTATCATTTTGATCGTATTTGAATCAAATAGATAGAAAACACATGTATGGCACAATCGGAAAAAAATACTTCCAAATACAACTTAAATTCCAATCAAAAAAAAAAAAATGCAACATTTATTTTCACCTGGCCAGCATAAGCCTACTTAGACAGTGTGGCTGCTGTCCAGTCCACCTAATAATGATCACACTGAAAAATAATAGTATTTCTATGAACATTCTGCGACCTCTGAAGACAGCCACGGCCAACTGATCATTCAGAATGGAATTTCCTACATGGTTATATAGTTACATAGTTACTCAGGTTGAAAAAAAGACAGAAGTCCATTGAGTCCAACCTAGAGAGATACGGAGAAAAGAAAAAAAAAAAGAAGAAAAGCCTAAACAGAACACTATGCCCACAATTACCCAATGTTGATCCAGAGGAAGGCAAAAAAACCCTATAAAGCACAGTTCAATTTGCTCCAACAGGGGGAAAAAGTCCTTCCTGATCCCATAAGGCGATCGGATATTCCCTGGATTAACAATCTCTGATGCTTAATATACCTAAAAGAACTCAATATCCAGTAATATTCTGTGATATGATCTACCAGAACACACATATCTTTCTCCATCATTGAATCCCCCAAACATACTCCCCCTAGAGGGTATGACGCATGCATGTTTTTAGTCCCCAAGTGCAGAACTTTACATTTATCAACATTAAACCTCATTTGCCAAATAGATGCCCAATCACACAGTGCATTCAGATCTGCTTGTAGGTTGGAGACATCCTGTAAGGACTGTATTCCACTACATAACTTGGTGTCATCTGCAAACACAGAAATAGTACTTTTAATCCCCAATTCTATGTCATTTATAAATAGGTTAAACAGTAAGGGACCCAACACTGAACCTTGGGGAACACCACTAACAACTGGTTGCTATTGGTTCACTGAGAAAAGGCACAGCCATAGGTGTCTACTTAATGCACATTCAACTGAAACCTATGTGGATAGTAATGGAAAGATTTTTAAAGATCTTCCAGCCTTTCAAGTCTTTTGGATACTTTAAATGGTTCTATTAACTAAAAAGTAAACCCTGTGAGAAAATTTACAAAAACATTATCCGTAGAGCTAGACAGCTGTCAGTCATTCTCATGAGCCTGGTAGTATATTTTTACAGTGTCACCTAGGTCAGCATTGTTAATATATATAAAGTCTGTGCAGGGTCAGATGGACATATATTGTTCTGCATCTTTAACGCATAGAATTCAGGATAAATGCACATATTCAGAGCCATCCCCTAACTCAGCAGGAGAGGAGATGAACTAACTGCTGTCATTGTGCTTCTTGTCTATTCACTACACAAATGGACCAAGTTCCTGAATAGAAAAAGTCTCTAAATTAGCTCTGTCTCTATCCCGGACTTAGGTCTTCTCAATAAATCTCTCTACAAAGAGGTACCCTGCTGTGGATGCAAATAAACATAAGTTCTCAAGAGTCAGCTGCACGTGTGATACAATATCTAGAGCAACATGAAGGAGCTTAGGCCAAAGATGTTCCCCATACAGAGATCCATGATGATTTAAAATATCAAAGGAGGACACTTAAAGTTAACCAAGGTGAACAATCAAGGTGAACTAAGGCCAACCATACATGGAATGTTTATTGAAGAACTGGTAACTGTAGGAGTGTCAAATAAACATTTTAATATAAGAAGAGCAAGTGTTCTTCTCAGTTCTTCTCATGAAAGAAACTAGATGTCCATTGTTCTCCAAATTTGAGTTTGGAATTGGGGAGGATTGTTGAGTCCTTTGTTATTCTTGCATTTAAGCTACAAGTATGCCTAGCGGTATGGCTATTGGGTTGCCTTACCATTGTTCAATAATTGGTTCCTAACATCCATCTTTGGATCAAAACTGCTAAGAATTGTCTCGTATGTGGAGAGGGAAACAACTCCACCCACCCAGTTTATGTCCACTTAAGTAAAGAATAGTAACGATGAAAAATGCAATTGAATTATGACCTTATCTGCCCGTATATTGTATCACCAATTCTGTTTTCTTTATCTACCTAATCTTGCAAACTAAAATACAAATTTTAGGTGTACAAAATTATCCACTTTTGGTATAACAAAGAACATATTCAGCCCAGGAGTGATGTCTGATTTGTTATTTATTTTTTGGTAATCGGGGGTAATCTGATGTAAACGGACCGTTTACATCCGATACTCCATAGACTGGCATGGGGTCCGGTAATTGCAGTTTTTCCTCCATCACTTGATAGAGGAAAAAAACTGTACAGACACAGGTGTCACATCGGTGACATCCGCTCTGTACTGCTCTAATCAGGAGTAGATATGTGCATGGATCCTCTCCTGATCAGCCCATGGAAAGGTTGCCTAAAAGTAGAAACAAAATCACTGACCAATATAAATATGCTTTTGTATGTGGTGTGGGTACTAGACATTTAGCGATAGCCGGGGCTGTAGTCAGCCTGGATGGATTTATAGTGGCAGTTATCTGATTAATTCCAGGTGTCTGGCATTGCCTGTAAGAAGGGCGGTTAGTGCTAATGGGCGGGCAGCTGAAGAGCATACCCTAGACAGACTAGAGATGAACCGGGCATTCAGCGGCTCCTTCGGGGGTGAGCGCTACACTTTCATTAATTTTTTTTGTGTTAATTAACTTTCTCATACAGGAGCTCTCAAGTTGGAAGAGGATGGGTCAGCACTAGGAGCCAACCAGACTCAACCTGGGCTGAAAAGGAACATCATGATAGGAGGAGAGAGCAGAGTGTGCAGAAGGATGAACTGTTGCTTCAGCTTCACTTTAAATTACAAGCAGGGGCAATGAGATGACTTACCTGTATTGCCTAATAGCAGAGCCAGGTTGGTGAAAATCGCTCCCATTTTTGAATTTAAAATGTATATTTAGCTGTTACACTGGAGCTCAGCTTTTTTGTACAGAGCTTACCTTTTCATCACAGTAGCTGAGTCGGATGATGGCCAAAGGCAGGAGGAAGTACTGGAAACCGAGCATCCTGTAAAAACATAATGACAGTTAACTATGATGTATATTGTGTTATAATCAGATCAATAATGCAGCTTTTATAAATCCCAGTTGCTGGTACAGTTACTGACATTTGACCTAATAATACCAGTTAATATAACTGGTGTTATTAGGTGTTAGTATTATAACGCCACTACTAAACTTTTTGAGTCCTCCTCTCTAATTTTTGATCCTATAACAGCAAATAAGACCTTGGTGCAACACCACGTTAGATATAATGGACCCAATTACACCAGATAAGTAAATCTGCTTTACTCTAGCCCCTAGACAAAGTACAGCACTTGATAGGCCCACTGCAAGGCTTCTTTTTTGTTTGTCCCGAGATAGGCTTTAAAAGAGTATTGAGCCAGAGTGTTGGTAGTTACTGGATTTTCAGACTCACCATCATTGTAACTGTATAGTAGGCCCTGGTGCAAGAACTGGCTAAACAACAGGGTCTTACCCAACATACAGTATAATACGTGTTGTCACCCTAGGACTGGAAGTGTGTCAAAGGTAGGACCATGAGATGAAAATAAAGAAATAATGTAAAAGATCAGTGTTACAAAGGCTGAAAGAAATATGGTGATTCCATAGAGACAGGTAAGTGGTTTCTTAGCAATCCTAACAGTGGTGAGTTGTCACCAGTGTTAGAATCGCCCATATGATATTAGCCTAAGTCCAAACACAGCCCTGTAACAGAAGTGTATGTTTAAGCTTCATACTTCAATACTTGTATATATTCAGCCCTAGTGTGCAAGGCCTTACCCTGAAGAGTGTGACACCAATCTCTAACAATTTCAATCTTTCTCTATGTAGTCTATAGCTGTAGCTGCAAAAGCTGACATATGCCTGACTTCTGTGTGCTGTAAGAAGTGCTTTTTAGTCTCCATCCTGACATTTCATTATCAAAATATTATAGATTGCCTACTGCCTGCCTGGGGGAAGTTCCGAACCCTAACTGGCATACTACGCGTTTTATACAACCGTGGATGAATTTTGCTTATGTCCACCTCGCGTGCGGGAAAATTAGGAAAGTGGAACTTAGGAAATGTCAGCATCATCGGGAGGTAACTATGTCTTTTTTTGGACAGAGTTCTGTGAAAGCTGAGTAAGCAGAAAGATTAGTCACAGACTAATCATAGATTCTTACAACACAAACCCTTAATAATGCAGAAGTGGAAAAACACAAACAATAGAAACAAATCTATTAGATTTAATAAAGTCATCAGCAAATCACTTACCCTACATGGCAAATTGATTTGCTCAACTTGATATCCAAGAGATTCCCCATCAGTCTAGTTAATTCCTATCAGTATTTTCTTGCCTGAGGTATAATATTGCAGTCAAGCAACTATAATCAAAGAACCCCATTTTCTAAAAATGCTAACCTACCCATCCCAATCTGCTAAAGCCCAACTCTGGGGCAAAAGTATTCCCTTCTTTGCTCCCCTATTGGAGCACCCCAGCAACTCCAATATTAAAAATAATTTAAAATACAAATCTTTTTTAGGTGTTTTCAGTCGAATCTCACAAGTCTTCTTCACTCTCCACTACCTCCACAGTGGGTAGATCCTAAGTTCTGCCTATGTTCTGCAGAAAGCAGTGCTATGTAATCACATGGTGTGACTACAGCATTTTCCTGTGAGATCGGGGAGGGGGGAGTCATGACGCCCTGGACTTACAGGAAGGGGGTTGAATGACACTGGACATCATTCAACACAGAAGAGGACTGGTGCTGGATCAGTGACTGGGTACATCTGTAAACGACAGCGTAGAAGATAGGGAGCTGGAACTGGTTAACTGATCTGCTGGGGAATCCTTTATTTTCTATTCGGGCCAAACTGTAATCGGGTTTTAATGACTAACCCCAGACATTTTTTTTCTGGATCATGGGGAAGAGTTAGAGCCTTGTCAGGCTTCTATTTCTGCCTGTGTTTCCATTGGAGAAATTCTCTCACTTTTTGTTCCTGTGACACCTTACAAGGGGGCGGTGGTAACGGAGACAGGATAGCTGGGACAGGAATTAAAACATTATCAGATGAATTAAACCTCCCCTAATTTACTGAATTGTATTTGTCTTTCCCATTGGAGAGATTTCCAATCAATACCTTTTATGACAGGGACAGGGGGCATATCTCCCAGTAGAGATTTAAATGGTAATAAACGCTTGTAAGACGTTTTAGCCTTATCCAAAACAAAATTAAAAGTTTTGGTTGAAGTGGTAATTAAAGGTGAGAGAAGTACTTAAAGCCTTACTCTAGGCAGTGAGGTCTCATACCCCGAGACACTCTTCTTACCAGTCTCCATCTGGTCCGGTAGCAGCCCCCCTTGCCAACATCATCATCTGAAATACATTACCAGCAGCCATGTCCCATTTTGATGACATGGCAGCTGGTCCTGCATTGTACTTGATGACATAGGAGTGCCTACCCACATTCCAGCACTGGAGAGTGAAGAAGCAAACCACTGGCTGTCATGGGAATGTTGAGTAGGATAAGTATTACTCTGTGAGATCATCCTCTAGACAAAACAAGCATCTATATACTTCATCAGCTGGGGGGAGCATACTTTTAATATACTATCACTTCCTGAAGTTATGCTTCAATTTTTCTGCCACTAAGTATCCCACTTGGGCCACGCATGTGCCTAAGTGCCTAGGCCTCTTGTCACATGACCTCTGCTGAAGACGCTTTGCCTAAGATGCAGCTGGGATCGACAAGGACATGTAAATCAATTTGAAGACTTATACAAGTATTTGCTGACATGACAGGGTTCACCACCGCATTGCTGTTTTTGCATGAAAGGTTTTAGTTTATTAGGTATACTTTAACCCTTTCACTGCCACGGTTTTCGTACATAGGCGCACCCAATGCATGTGTACATTAATATGCGCATGCTTGTGGGGGCGGGGGACTTTTAAAGATAGTTTTTTTACATTTAATTTAATTAATTTTTTTTTTAAACTTTATTTAATTGCTATCACATAAGGGGCTTACAAGCCTGACACCCGATATGCCGGTCCCGGGCCCGCAAGAGAGGCAGCGGAGCCCGAAAAGCCCGAGATTCAGGAAGCCACCAGACTCCCTTCCACTGTAAAGCCGACAGTGGCTTTACAGAGTCTGTTTAAAGGGGGCCGCTGCTACTGACGTATGAGATACGGCCAGAACATTCATTTTACCATAAATATTCCCATAAGATTATATGTGCACTTAACATATTTCAAGCATGTTATTTAAATGTAGAAGGTATTTATATAGCTGGCCTGGTTCCAGCTGCCAGGTATACCCTCAGGTCATGGCGGAGTGTGCCTAGATGGCAGGCCTTTTTAGCCACACACTATTTTGAGTTTGGACAGCTGGGGATGCGCCATGTTATCAGTTTCCTGGTGGTTATGTAGAGACATCCTGGTGAATTGTGTCATCTGTATTTATGAGTACATTAAATTCACTGAATTCTTCACGTCCTGTCTTTCTTCCGAGGCCCTATCACACACAAACACAGCTGCATGCATGACCCACATCCAATGTTTGCTAGTGTGGTTTCCAAGCAGCAGAATGACACAGATAAAAAGAAAGCCATAAGTAAAAGTCCCCTGCTGTACTTCTGAGGTAAATCTTTTCTTCTAATGGCTTCCTTCCCCAAAGTTAATCTCAGCTAATTCCAACACGTCTGCTAAGAACACATTTTCAGATATAATGGACCTTCTGAAATAGGACAATGGAAAGAATAGTAATGATTTACAAAATGCAGTAACCAATACTAACCAAATTTCACTTTAGTGAAAAATAAATGCAGACTGGCTGACGTGTATAATTTTTCACTTTGCCTATTTAGGGCACCTCCACATAGGGAAGAGTAGAATACCTTCTCCCCTTCCTCGAAGGATGTGTTCGGGGGCCTGAACAGCCAATCACCTTAACATTGCCATTAACTCTTCATAACCCTCAACACTGGGCAACAAGGAGCTTACATAGGGTTTGGACCCAACATGGATAAAACCTGTGTAAGATTGTATTGTTATCTGTGTATCTGTTGGATATATTTTCCCTCCCTTCCTACTAGGGATGCACAGATACTGATACTAGTATCGATATCAGTGCCGATACCATGTATTTGGGCAAGTATTCGCACTCGCCCAAATGCTCCGATACCCTTCCCAATACCGGAATTTCTGGTCAGAGGAAAATTTCCTCTGACCAGCAGTGCCATAGGGGAACATAGAGCCGGCTTCCTGGGCAATCAGGAAGCCAGGTGGCGAGTAATGACCCACCTCCCAGCTTCCTGATTGGCCGGAAAGCCAGCCCAATGCAGATTGGCTGGGAAGCTGGCTTCCCAACCAATCAGCATCGAGCCGGCCGAAAAGCTGGCTTCTTGCTGATTGGCCGGGAAGCCGGCTTCCCGGCCAATCAGCATGGAGCCAGCATCCTGGCCAATCAGGAAGCCGGGTGATGAGTAATGACATGCCTCCCGGCTTCCTGATTGGCCAGGAAGCCGGCTTGATGCTCATTGGCCGGCTTCCTGGCCAATCACAATCGAGCGGCCAAACATGGAGCCGGCTTCCTGGGCAATCAGGAAGCCAGGCAACATGTAATTACGGAATCGGTTCTCTGTATCGGCGAGTGCCGAAAGCAAAATATCGGTACTCGTACTCAATACTGAAAAACCAGTATCGGTGCATCCCTACCTCCTATCATCTATAGTAGAGTGAGGAAGGGTTAGAACGTTTTTCTTACACTGTGCCTTCCTGCCCTTGTAAGAACCACTCCCTTAATTTCCTGTATGGGCATCACAGGGACAAGATATAAGGGAAAACCTCCCCAATGGCATCACAAGAGAAGTACAACTTGACATATCTTGAAGTATATCTAAAGCCCAAAAATTTTAAGTAAATTTTTTTCTTTTCTTTGCTCTTTTGTCCATTGGGGAGATTGCTCTTTACTTCCTGTATTGTAGATAAAACAGAATATGAGAAGAAAACTCAGAGTGAGGAAAATCCCCTTGTAGACAGTGGTCACATGAGCGGGTTTCCACAGTGGAAAATTCTCTTTTCCTGTTTTGAGGACAACTCAAAATGCTTTATTTTTTCTCACATTCATTCCTGGTGACACTGGTCACAAGGACAAACAAAAATGTTAATCTCCCTAACAGAGACACAGACAACAATAATTGACATGTTGGATGGACCTGTAGCTTTATTCAACCTCAAGAACTATGTAGCTATGTAATTATGTAATAAAAACATGATAGGGAGTTCTAATCCCTCCACATTCTATCCAAGACTAAAAAAAAGTATTACATTCAAATTAAATGTAACTCTTCCACTCTCTATCCAAAACTAAAAAAATAATTGGCTGGAGTTAGCTTTTAATCATGCACTGGTTGCTAGTACTAGGATATAATGTGCTAAAAATCTTCCCATGCCGATTTCAGATGGTGAAAAACAACATGTCTCTAAACTATGTGGAATTTCTCTTTTCCCTCCAACAATACACCATTCCAGGCGAATATGTTGATTAAGACATATAATGGAAAGAAAAGAAGGGGTGTAAAAGCAAGCCTAGCTGAAATTTATACTGAAGTTTAGACATATTTCTGAGATAAACCTTGCCGCCATCTACTGCTTAACTTCCCTTTCGATAACATTTTAAATTAATTTTATGTGACAGCTAAAACAAAATGGTTCCATTTACTGGAATATCAACAACAGACACAAGCAAAACATTCCGTCTCCCAGACCCTCAGACGCTATAGGATAGAGTTAGACCATTTGTAAATTTTTTTTTTTTTTAGTCTGTGTCCCTGCTGTGAAGATTTGCCCTTCAATTTGATCTGGTTATCGTTGTCACCAAGACAGAAAGTGAGGGGGAATCCCAAACATTTGAGTTGCCATCAGAGCAATAGGTAAGGCAAAATGTTCCAATGGTCACGCCTGCTCCAGTAAAACCTCCCTAAGATGGGATTTCTGTTCACTTTAGGGAGATTTACTCTTATTTCCTGTTGCATCGTCAGCAAAGGAAGTGAAGGGAAATCTTCTTAGCTGGATACAGACAGCAAAAATAACTTGATAGAGGTTTTAACTATTCTCTACTTAAGGGCCAAACAAATCCAAAGAGCCAGGTAGCCAATGCTCTTTAAAAATGACACCTGGTGCCTAGCTTTTGAGGATCTTTCAATTGAGCCTGTTGGCTCCTGGACTGTTGTCAGTGAAGCTGGCTCCTAAACAATCCTTCTGGCTTCTGGATTGTTGTCAATGGAGCTGTTTCCTTTTCTTCTGGACTGTTGTTAGTAGATTTGGCACCTAAAAAAGTCTGGTACATTTTTGTAAATGGAGCTGTCTTCTAGAAAAATCCTGCTGGCTCCTGTATTGTTGTCTATGTTGCTGTCTCTTAAAACAATCCTGCTGACTCCTGGATTGGACAGACTGGCTATTGAGGTCCATGTTAATTTGTTTACCCTTGCTCTACTTTATATATTTAAAAAAAAATTGGGCTATTACTACACTTTAGTTTTGAAAACAACTTGAATGTAGGCAATACTCCCCATCCCCAGACAATCAATTACATTTATAGGTATTATATTATGGCAGGTGGGTAAGAAAGACCATTTCATTCATCCAGTATGACACGAAAATCAGCCAGTACTATGTTAGGCAGGGGGCATGTGTCCACCACTTTCATCCATCACTAAAAACTCACTGTCATATACATAGACACTCATGGAGATAATATTATATAACAAATAATAATAATACACTGCGTGGGTAAGATAATAATTGAATGTTTCGAATCAATATATTACCTGGTCTACCCTTGAGTTCTTGAGGTTCCTGGAGATTAGTCGTGTCCTTTCAAGTCAAGACTCTTCAGTAACTGTGTTCCTAAATATCATATGTTATATACTCCCAGCCTGTGGAAGAAAGGAGGAAGTTTAAGTTTCCCTTTCTGAGAAAAACATACATATTTGTGGTTTCTAAGCACACACCTATTTTAAAAATGTCTTCACAATATGCACATCACTTACCAGGCTGACAAGGGTTGTCACATCAAAGCTGCATACTATCAGTCATCAGATTTAACCAACTCTTCTATACAAAGTTCCATATAGTGTGCATTATGGATTCTAGGCTAGATAACATGCCAGATATTGGAAAATATGTCATCCATGACCCTGGATTATGTAATGGACTAAGCTAGCAGCAAAGAGCAGTAATCCATAACAACCAATTAGATTTTACTTTTCTGAAGCTATACCACTACAAAATGGATACTGTAGTGGATACCATACTTTGCTTCTTGTACTTTAATCCAAACTCCATACATGTGATACAATGGCAGCTCCCATATTTTTATTCCTAAAGGTTTCCTGAAA